ATGTAGGACTTTGTCCTATTCACTTAAAGAAAACAAAAACACTTTAAAATGATTTTCTTCTTATAAGTGTAAAAAATAAAATCAAAGACAAGGAAAATAAACAATAGAAAAGTTTTTTTCACCAGGGTTACCTCTACATTATTAAAATAGGAACAAAGAAACAAGAAATCGTGAAGTTAGTATAAATATCAAAAACACATCTGCTATAATTGAATCTGCTTGAACTAAAGAGGTGAGTCATTCCTACCATATTCTGAGTGATATTACACATACAGTTATTTACAAGATTTGTCTAAAAAGGCTATAACTGTATCATTTCTCAACATAAGATAATCTTAGTTTAAATCTGTCACAAAAAGCAGCAGGTGAAATGCATTCCTTCAGTAAATACCCAGTTTTTAACTGGATATTTCACAGAAACAGACTTTAATTTCTGCCTCCAGTCTGCTCCAGTTTTCCCTCCTCTTTTCCTTTTTTTTAAAATGAGCATTCGAGCTGCTGAACTGTGAAGTGTTCAGTCTGCGTCGAGGAAATCTTGGCTTCTTGACGAGATGCGGGAGTTGGATCTGCGGCGATGCATCCTCGTCCAATCTGAGGCCTCCTGCATGTCGCAGGTTCTCTGCTTTCCATTAAAAACACGCCCGGCTCTCCATTTCTATTCTCCTCGTGATCCCTCAGACAGTGAGCGCAACGTCAGACGGCTCTGATCTCTTAGTTTGCCAAATGATATTCTGTTCCAGCYGCACCTTTATGAATAATTGATGGTAAATATTTGAATTTCTGGAAGGTGATTTTTTGCGACGGCCTTTTGTAAACTGTTCACCCAGACTGCGAGACAATGTCAAACATGTTCCGCAGCTGCTGCAGGTCTGATGGTTTTGTTTACAAAGTCCTCACATTGTGCAGAAGTTTGAAAAAMCCCCAGTTTTTTTGTCTTTCCTTCACCCCGCTGTGATTTCTAAAGCATTTCTCTTAGCTGAACATATACAGGACGATATACAAGCAGGCACATTTTACAAAAATTGTTTCAGATGCTTGTTGGACTACTTTTACTTTTTCTTGTCTTTTTTTCCTCCTGAAATGTTGGAATCCATGCCTGACTTTGTGATGACTGCTGTCATTTCTGCAGGTCTTCTGTTCACTCAGCCAACTTTCCTTTTTATTACCCTCAAAGAAGAGAGATGATGTTTTTGCTGTTTTTTTTGTCCCCTTTGCAAACTTTCTCATCAACCACTCATTTTAACAGCTAGTGACTTAATCCTGTTTAAGATGACCACTAAAGCTAAACAAACTTAGTAAATGCCACAAAAAAGGCTATAACTCAACCCATTCTACAGATATGGAGCTAATATTTAATGTTATAGTTTTTGTTTAAAACTTTCTCATCGACTGTTGTTATCAAAATATCTCATGAACCACTGAAGCGGTTTCTTGTGGCAGCTTTCTGAAATCCCTCTCCTCTCTTCAGGTCCTGRATTTTTGGGGATAGTGAAGAAAGACTGGGTCACTTACAGCAGCATCGCCCTCTCCTGGTCAGAAGTGGAACCGCCGCCTTCAGAGYTCCTGGATTATGAAGTCAAATATTATGAGAAGGTGAATTTAGGAAACCAAAGTTGGAACAAACCACGTGTGATGTAACAATCCCAGCTGACAGCTTTGTTTCTGTCACCATCTGTTCTGAACGATAATAGGATAAAGAATCTGTGCTTTGTTCAGACAGTGCGGTCGTGACTGATTTGTAGAAAAACTCATTTGTCAACATCCTGTTCATCGTTTCTGCCTGATCTGTTTCTGCCTCAACAGGAGCAGGAGCAGCTGAGCTACTCGTCAACACGGACCAGAACCGCCAGCGTGGCAATAACGGGCCTCAGACCCTCGACCGTTTACGTCTTCCACGTGCGCGCTCGCACCGCAGCCGGCTTCACGGCTTACAGCCACAACTTCGAGTGTGCCACAGCAGCTGAGGGTAGGACGTTGTGTGTAACTTTGACATTTCGGCTTTAACTTTGGCTAAACACTAATCATCACATTGAGCTCTGCTAACAAACAATAACTGAGCTCTACCTGGTATTTCCTGCTTACAAACAGCGCTTCAACATGTCCTCTTATAAACACAAAAAAGTACTACGTGTACGACTGACTAAATGTGAAATAAATAACACAGAAATATTATTAAAAGTAAAACTAAGTGTTCTACTCACTCTTGAGTTGCAGTAAACCTTGAATTTTGAACTCTCCCGCTTTCCAACAAGGAACTCCCACCAGAGGGAGAGTTCCTGTTTAAATTTACGACTTGTAAGTGGGAAATCCCCACTTCCCAGTGCAAATGGGCAGTACCAAAAGTAGCCAAAGAAAATGCAGTGAAATGGAGATTTTACACTGGTACATTTTGTCGGTTTTCGGCTACTTTTAAATCCTGTGCAGCTCCATCTAGTGGTGGGTTGCTGTCATTTTGCAGTTAAAGTAATCCACATGCATTATGGGAGATGTAGTTTATGGTTAATGCTGGTTATAAAGCAGCTTATTTTAATACGGGGCTGTTTGCCTTGAGTGATGAATGTAAAGTTTACAATGATTTTAAAATCTATTTTTATATTAAATTAAGTTTAAAAAATAGTGTTGAAGGTAAATTAGTACATATTCAGAGTAAATCAATAAAACTTAGTATTTCTTTAGTTGCAGGGTTTTTTAAAATCCTTTTTCAGCCGTACCTTCACCTGTCTGTGTTCAGATCCAGATGTGGCAGATCAGGGTCAGGTGCTGGTGGTTGTCACAGCGTCTGTAGGAGGCTTCTCCCTCTTGGTCATCCTTACCCTTTTCCTCCTCATCACTGGACGGTGAGACTTTTTCTTATTTGATTTTAAACTTGCTTGTCAACACTAAGTTTCACACATCGATGCACACAAACACATTTTTTCTGACTCATAATCTGCAGAGTAATGCTACAACCTGAAATGTGTTAATGGACTCTTTTTTTGCCACCAAGCAGACAGTCTTATTTTCCAATTGGCTGAATCAATTTTCTGCCTAATTACCCAGCATGTAATGCATGTACCAGCGGTTTGCTCCGTTCCATTAACCTCCAAAAGTTTGCCCGGTCTGTTGTCTTCAAGTCACCCTCAGTTAACAGGGTTTTAGCATTTCCACACGTCTTTAAAAAAGCTTGAAAAATGACCAGAAAATCCAGATCATTCGTCTAAATTTCACTGTGATACGAGCTGTAGGGATCATATTTAAATAATATAATCTCTGAAAATATCTGAACTCTAAATAAAACAAAACAAAAAAGTGCTGCTGTATCTCCAGAGAGGAGATTTCTTTTGTGTTGATGCAAACCGTCGACACTTTCTGCTGAAGACTTGTGTTTGGTTGTTCCTGAGGTACAAACTCTCCTCTCTTGTGTGAATCTGTGTGAAAACTAAAATACTGGGGAAAAAATCCTGAAACTGCAAAAGACACAGAAAAGGAAGTTAGCCCAAAGCAAAGTGTCTGACTCAACTTTGTGCTGAAAAAAAAGACAATTTTTGACTTGCATGAGGCAATAATTTGAATCCACTTCACAAATCTGTTAGATCTGTTTTTGCTAGTTTTGTTTCGATGATGTCAGTGAATTGTTAGTTCAGACGCCATGATGGAGCAGCGAGAAGGTTTGCAGATCAAATCCTGGCTGGACATACTTGTATTTGTGCACTCTGGTTTCTGCCCACAGACCCAAAACATTCACGTCAGGTTCACTGTTAGTCTTTATGTGTCTCTGTGATGGACATGAGACCCGTCCAGGTGTCCCCCGCCCCTCACGCTAAGGATGATGGATGGATAAGAAATACTAGAAATGTATTCAGCTGAAAGACAGGAGTTTCATGTGATTTAGAATATAATTCTTCTTCTTTCTCTAACTTGTTCACCTGTACAGGTGTCAGGGTTACATTAAAGCCAGGATGAAGTCAGAGGAGAAGAGGACTCGCTTCCACAGCGGTCACGGTACAAACTTTTCCTTCTGTTATGGAATTCTTTTTGTGTTAAAATGATTTTAGAATTTTCCAAAAACAGACACTGTTTAAAGGGGCAATATTATGTGTTTCTCAAGCATATATTTAAATACTATACATTAATAAAGTATCTATGTCACCTTTAGTTG